GGATCGCCGCCGGTGCGCGGCTGTTGTTCTTTGTCTCCCTGCTCGGCCGAGTCTGACGTGCGTGCGGCGCGGCGTGTCTGCCGCTCCAGGTCGCGGCCCGGCGGTTCCTCTCGAGCTATTTGTAACGCGCGTCGGCGTGTGGAAGGATAACTGTCGTTTTTCCTTGACACGCATTGCGGAACGTCTCATCGTCTCGAGTACTCGCTCGAGGACCGAGATTTTTGGAGAGGAGAACGGAAAGAGAACTCTTTCGTCGTTTCCTTCGTCTGGGACTTAACTCGCTCCGCGCGTCGTTCGATTAAACGGTTACAAGCACGTTTCGCTACGGGTAGTAAACATCGCGCACGAACGATAACCGCGCGTGCAACACGCCGGTGCGTTTCATAATATATCGCGTAAATTAACGCGAATTCTATTAACATTAGAAGGACTGAGGTAGCCAATTTGGCTCCTCGCGAAATTTAAATTAATATAACTATTTTCCAAATGATATCCTTTTGACTTTTCATCATTTTTCATGTTCTTAGTTTTAGTAAAAAAATTGTCAATTATATAAAATGGTTAAAAAAATGTGCTTTTTATTTCATTAAAAAATGCCAACTTGACTCTTACTAAGAGTCCTTCTAAGAGGATCGTCAAATCCGATTTTTCTAATATTAACAGGGTTGTCACAAATTTCTCATCTTAAATTCTGTAAACTTTTCCCTGGTTTCTGGACAAAATTTCGTGATTTTTCTTGACTTTTAATATCTTGAAATTTTTGATATTTCTATTCTGATTTAGAAACTGATTTTTTAAATATTTTTGTAATACTGAAAAATTAATTTAACATAATAATATAAATTAATGTTGCTGACACTGCTTTTTAATTGTTCAGTTGATGGTAGTATTTTAAAACTACGCAGGTATGATTATTAAACTTCTTTAAAGCCAATAATTTTAACTTTTCAAAAAAAATTTTGCAAAATACCTTGACCTCCTTAATTTCCCAGATGATTCCTTAATTTTCCTGATTTCCAATTTTACAGCAACCCTGCATTCATCCCTATCTTTTCACTATCATTCGCAGATCTTATCTAGCGCGAATCGGCGAACGAGACGATACTAGCTGTTCCGCGAAGCTGCAATGACGCGTGTCTCATCGTCACGAGTGCAAAGTTTGACAAAGAATGCGACGTTAATACACGCGACGCCCGTCGATGCATCAGCGTCCGGCAATGACTCCTGGCGAATTAATATTTTCGAAACGAACGATGCGCGGCTCATTGCATTCGCGGTTGGAGACTGCTTCCTCTACTCCTGGTGCAGTCACCCCGACATGAATCATTAAAGAAACAATGCTGAAGGCAGTGGCGTATCTATCATACGCGTGGGTGGTGCAGCTGCGCCGACGCCGACGAAACCCGGGGGAATCCTGACTGCGGCTCTTAATGGCTTTTAATTTCGTATCGTATCTCTGTATCTCGTTGCACGATTCTTTTTGCGAGAAATGCGTTGATAAACAAGTTCTATTACTATCGAAGACGCATATCTATTTCATTTTCTTTTGTCTATCACATGAAAGCGTTAGATTATATCAAACGGCACACAAAAATACGTAATCAGCAGCAAATTTAAAATATGTATTTGTTTACATCTTATATATTACTTAAATTTATTTGTATGCTGTAGTCTTAATGTATCAGAGATTTGACACTTGAAAACAATGGAATAAGTTTATAGAAAATAGACAAAGTAGATATAGATAAGGTATTGCGCAATCTTAGCATGTGTACTTCGTTAAAAAAAAAATAGCCTGCATTTAATCATATATATCATATCTGTTTTTAACTTAATAAAAAAAGAGGAAGAGAGAGAGAGAGAGAGAGAGAGAGAGAGAGAGAGAGAGAGAGAGAGAAGCGATACGAATCAAGCTACTCCACTCTTTTCCGATAATGACAATTTCATAGGAATGAATAATCTAGAAGTACCTATGTTACGTCTACGATTCATAAAGATATGTCTGATTTCGCTTTGTTTCGAAACTACAACTGTTTTCGTTTTTTATCCATGCTTGTTTATTTTCATAGTAGATTCTCAATATAAAGACCTGTCGTGTTTCAAGTCTGTAATCTTAATCTCGTTATCCTTTTGTCACATCCAAGTTACTTGGATCTGCTGGAAAGCTCGCTCGATCGAACGACAGAATATGTTGTCAGTTGACTGTGTTCCGTAGACAACAAATTTCAAACGATTCTACATGTAAAAATTCAACGGGTTCATAGCGGGTAATGAGATCTGCGAGACTAGCTCGTTTGTTAGAGAATCGTCCATCCGAGAAATATCTCGCTGAAACAAACGAAGCTCGCTGTAACGCGGAAATAAGATCGTTTATAACTTATTTTATATTATGTTATATTTTTAATTGTAATCGCAAATCTGCGCTCACGCAATGTATCATCTCCAGAGTAATCAAATTCGTCTTTCGCACTTTGGAACATTTTCTAAAACGCTTCACGTAAATCTCAATCTATTTCATCGCGACATGAATTCTCTTTGGTAGCCGTAAATCGTATCGGACCGATATACTTCGATACGTCGAAGCAAGCGGTTTTATCAGCGATGGAAACGTGACTCTCTCTTTCTCTCTCTCTCTTTCTTTCTTATAACTATGTTTCTCTCCTCCGGTATAAAGGGTGACAAAAACGCTCGCACCTAACCGACGCGGCGTGAGGTTTATTGAATGAAAATGCCGGCCGATGCGTTTCTATTTTTCTTTATTTGACCGACGTGCGTCGCAGCATCTCGCTAAACGCCGAATGAAACAATGGCCATTATATGGAACACTCGCGCGCAACGTATTACGTACGCACATACTCACAGAACATTGTACATGTGCATTAGGTATGTTCAGCACGATTTGCCTAGAACACTGTATATGTATGTGTGAAGCTGCGAAAATGTGTGTTTGCGCGCGACAGACAGCTGTTCGTACTATTATACCCGGCGCACGGTCGCATAATGCCTTAAGGACAATCGTGGGAATTCCATTAAGTGGCCTTGAATGGTTCATTCATGTCGATCAACTCTTTTCCTAACGGAACGGTTGACAGATCAATCGGCCGCTCAGGCACGAGAGCGACCCACGGGATTTCATTCGCTCGTTCTCGAGATCGAGAGAAATGCCGGAGTCAATTACTACTGGGCGCAGCTTGTACCGGTGATACCGCGATCGTCGGAGGAACACGGAGTCATCGTCGTCGAGAATGTTAGTGCCTATGCCGGTTCGAATCGATCGGGAGTATCGGGACTCCTAGCGTCTCGGCCGCGGCTTATCATGGTTTATTCCTCGGCGAATCGCGATTGCATTCGATTGCATTCGCACGCGAACGTACAATACGAGTGCTTTCCGTTGAACGATCAATAAACTATTACCAGATCGCCCGCTATTGGATCAGATATATATAATAGATATTGGTGTCCGTTATGACATTCAATTTGACTTTATGCGTGCGGTATATAATATATTGTATCTATGGAGATTACAGCAATACTGCGGATACATCCCAAAAATAACAGACGTCGCCAGGTAACATAATCTCGACAAAACACGATTATGTAAAGTTAGCAAAGTGATACAGCAGTTGTAATTTACCTGTCCTAAGAAAACGTATTCCGTTCAAAACGGAAAAACATGGTGTAAAGAGCGTTAAAGAAAATATTATAACGAAAAAATAATATGTAAAAATATATTACATAAAAAATGTAATATAATACGGTAATACATAATACGGTAATCCGCAAATCCTTTGGCATCTCTTGAAAAAATATCCAAAAGTCTCAAATACTTGAAAATCTCAAAAGTAATACATAAAAGTATGTAAGATATAAACAATAATATAAACAATAATATACAGGGTGTAACTGAAATAATGTCCATTAATCATACAGCTATTCCTAATAAAAAACTAAGTTGAAAAGTCCTGTATTATTTTGCAATTTTCGCAACAGTAACGAGATATTAATTTCCAAATATTGCCGGATAAACGACATAAAATCGATGTATAAGATATCTTTTCTTTGTGAAATATTTTGAAATATTTTTTCTTCAAGAACTCTTAAAGATATCTTAAAGCTGTGTATACATTAATTTTACATCTCAGTTTTTTATTAGGAATAGCACTGTATAATTAATGGGCGTTATTTAAATTATATTCTGTATAACATTAGTAAAAAAAAATGCTATATTCAGTTAACGCGAATAATTTGTGCCTGAATAATAATACTACTTCTTGTGAATATATAATTTCCAGTTCAAGCAAGCTGTGCACCCGTTATATCAGTCTTCAACAATTTAGTCTTAAACAATTTATAAAATGTAAATAATATATAAAATTCATTTGTAACTTTTATATTATAGATATATATTAGGTGTGAGAAAAAGTTCGTGGCGTTTTTTTAATGCCATCTAACGGGAAAAACGAACTTTTTCCCATATATAATATATCATTAATATGATATTTTATTGTATTTGGCTCGTAATCCTTTTCAACATTATTTCTTTTTTAATTTTATATTACTTGAGCCATATTTTATTACGTATTTTAATATATAAGTGAACACTTTCGCAATGACTGAATAATAAATATGCATAAAGTACTCTCTAAATCTGAATCAGTGAATAATCATTAATTATCCAGTGGCATACTTAGCACTGATTAAGTGAAGTTCAACTAAAAAAGGATGAATGTTTGAGCATTATATAATTAAAATATTAATATTTGCATATTAATTTCAATTTTCCAATACCATTCATTGAATTTAAGCACTAAAACAAAGTTAGTTACATCACATAATAAAGATTAACTAGGTTAGATATCTCACATTTAATTCGCTGATTATCAGTAACATATTTAGTGATTATCCATTGATTCAGATTTAGAGAGATAAATTATTTATTTGATCGAGGAGATGGCAAGACATGGAATACAACTGGACACATTCTCTTTTGATTTTTGCAGAATGCTGGACAATTATGACAGGGGTGAGGTGACACCACCACCGGCGGTGAGCGGTTATGGCGGCTCCCCCGGCCTCCTGGCGCTTCATTCGTCGCTTTACGCAACTCCCACGTCGAGAGCCTACGACATCGACTCCGGTATCGACGGCAACGACAGCTCGATGCCCATCGACACCCAAATCATCTCGGTACGGCGTTACGATTCCATTTCGGATTCTGTGTAGTCTATAGTTCTCGAAATAGATATTTGCGCTTTCGCGTTGCACAGGCCGTGTACTACTTACATTCTTGCGCTCGACGTTGTTGTAAACACACCTACGTAAAGCATTCAGCAACGTACAGCAACGCACGTGTACAACTATTCGAAAACGAATGCATGAGTACAAAGTCGAACCGCCGCGCGGAACAATGATAGCTAGAGGGAACGATAGCAAAATCATATAATATGTATTTGATGCGAACGCGATCGATTCATTAATCCCACGTTTCGTCTTGTCTAGAGATCCTAAGCAAAGTTTAACCGCGAGCGATTTTGTCAAAATTTTACGAGAGTTCTCATTCTATAATCTTAGTTGAGATTACACACAGAAAGAATTATTTTGCTGATGTATCTAAAAATTTAGCTAGATACAGATCTGAAAATAATTTTGTTGGACTATCAAAATAATTACGTAGAAATCTTAAGCACGATGAGTAATGCTGTAAAAAATTTTGACATTCTAACAATCAGTTTGAGTATTTTACGTATAACTATTTTGATAATCCAACAAAATTTATTTTCAGATCTGTATCTATCTAAACTTTTAGATATTTCAGCTAATCGTTTCTTTCCACGCAGAGTGAGACAGTACAAGTTATAGAGTGAGATATGTATACATAGGAAGATAGTATATGTACATATATCTTTCTCTCTTGTAGGATTTTGACAAATCGTTCTTGGCCACACTCCGTTATAGAATCTGTAATCTTGTGATTAGTCATCGCTTGGTATTTTAACAATGGTTGTTGGCCAAATAAATTTATATACCGTTCGACATCTTTATACTTCAATCGACAACTTCTCGTTTTTATACCGCATCGCTTAAAACTCGAACAGGTAGTTTAAAAACTTGTTGAAACACGTCGCTGGGTAAATAAACGTTGGACGTCCACGAGGGTATATCTGATGGAATGTACCATTTCCTGAAAGCAGATACCGAGTATGCTGTCCGGCCCGGCGCAGCAGCGGCTCGAGGATATGCCGTGGTTGGCCTCCGGCCCGTCGCTCGAGTACCAACCAGGTATCTCGCCGATTCCCGCAGGAGTGAAGATGTGCCATCCCGGCGGCGGCACCGCCCAGAGGAGCCTCAAGGAACAACGGATACGTCGCCCGATGAACGCGTTCATGGTCTGGGCAAAGGTCGAGCGCAAGAAATTGGCCGATGAGAATCCCGATCTCCACAATGCCGATCTCAGCAAAATGCTCGGTAAGTGCGCATGAAATATTTCTCTCTTTTTTCTCCCTTCAGCATCCTTCCTAGAGCGATAAAAGTTCATGATGACGTTTATTAATTAATCCTCTAACGAAATTGTGGATTCGTTGATGGACGAAACATTGAATGTAAATTGAAAGAATATTGACCGCCTTTGGAAACTTTTGCATTTACATTGTTAATTGGATGAGAAATCTTCTTAACTCGATTCCGATCTATTAATAAATTGTAAAAGAGAATTAACACTGTTTGCTTTTCAGCGAGGAATAGGTTCTCATGATTTGCAGCTCTAGAAATCTAGGGCTTTTAATAAAGTACTGATTCAATTTTCTATGTTAAATAGATCGGCGATTTATTAAAAAAAACATTGTATCTTTTAAAATGTAATTAAGGCGCATCGAGGTTACCTCATTATAGGAAAATTATCTATTACCGGATACGGCAGAGGTACAAGATTATGGTCTCATCTTTTAAAAATATACGTATGCGGAAACAATGTTGACGCTGCTCGCGGGAAAAAGCCTTTTCCGCCGGGAAACCGACTCTGGGAATAAGAAAGCAGGAAAAAAAAATCTTCCACGCGGCGCGTTATCATTAAATTAATTGCAGGCGTCGGGCGAAAATGTGGAATTAATTCTATTACGCTTAAAACCGAAGCTTCAACGAGATGAGGAGAAAGGTGAGAACTCTCTCGAGAAATAGCCGAATGAGAGGGGAAAAAAAACTCGTTATTCGTTAACGCAATTATATTTTTTTTTGCCGCGTCGTCGAAATGCGCAGTTGAAACCGCGAAGCCGGCCACGACGAATGTAATTCGTGGTCTCGTTTCGTTCGTATATCGCGAACCACCTGCGCGATCGAGATAGCAAAATCGTTCTCTTATCGCGTCGTCGTGCTGCGCCACTCCGGGTTCGAGTCCTCTTCGTGAATCTGGTTTCAATCGTTACATTATTGCTCAGCGATTCTCCAGCAACGTTTTCTCCCAATTGTGATACAAATATTCGAAGCGACGATTTCACGAAAACCAGAAAGTTTCGCAAACAGTCTTGCGGTTCTTCCTTTTCCCTCTTTTTCTTTCCTTCTCTCCGTCATTCTTGGCGTGTCTCTTCAGTGTTAAAACTGAGAGCCCATCATCCGGTACCTAACGATCTGTCAGCACTGATCGATTCTCTCTCTCTCTCTCTCTCTCTCTCTCTCTCTCTCTCTCACACACACTCTCTCTCTCTTTTTCTCGCGCGCGTTATCGTGGGCAGGTACACCTTGAATTATCGGCAATTGGCATCCGCAACGTTATTGGCATTTGAACGATCGAGCGGTCGTCGTGCAGAAAATTGTAAACTTCTCCTCCACCTACCTGCCTTTACCTCACCCGTTGCCCATTTCCAGCGCCCTGCACGAGGCGTAGCGTGTTTACACTCGCGCGCGCGCGTGTGCTGCGTGATGCACACGTGCTCTCTCTCTCTCTCTCTCTCTCTCTCTCTCTCTCTCTCTTTCTTCTCCTTCTCTCACTCCTCCCCTTGGCATTATGTCTTTTTCCCTTTTCCATTTTGCCACTCTCTTTGTCCCTCCATCTCTCGTCTCACGCCGACGAGCAAACCCGTAAATCACCGATCTATCTCCCCCCTCCCTCCCCATGTTTTTCTCCCTCTGTGCGGCGGTTATCGGTGCGAAGTAAGGAAAAACTCCATCGGATTTATCGATCAGACATTAGGTGATCGGCGCGATGTTATTGGCATGACGCGGCTCCGATTACTATGCACGCCGGGTCTTTCGCCGTCCCCACTCTTTCCCTCCGTCTTCTTTTTTTTCTCTCCAGACATCCTACATATTCATGCGCGTGCTGTGCTGTATGTCGATCCGTCCGTCCGTCCATCCATCCCGCCTATCCATATGTACGTCCGTTAGTCCGTCGATCCGCGCGCGGAACACACGCGCGTGCAGCGGAACGCGCGCGTGCGAGCGTGTTTTGCGTCGGCGTGCGCAGATTCGTACATTCGATGCACATGTATACAGTGTACACACATGTGTGTGTGTGTGTGTGTGTGTGTGTGTGTGTGTATACACAAACACATGTATATGTACGGCGCGAGTCAGCATCGATTGCGTCGCTGTCGGTGTCGGAGCACGCAACGCACGATATACGCCGATGGGGGCCGTGTGGGCACCTTATATCCGGTGACATGCGTGCCCGCGCATCTTTATTAATCGTTCGCCCGTTAGCCCGCCTTCGATCTCACGTCTGTCAACGTTAGAAATTAACGCATTCGCGCGTCCGAACCCCGAATCGATCGTCATCCTGGTTAAGGACGTTCTCCGAAAAAGTCTATTTTCTTTAGGTTTTTTTGAAACTTCAGAAACTACAGAATAAGCTTGTTCTAGTGTTCTGAACATATGTGCTTTAAAATCCTCAATATCCGGAGCAGGATTAAAAATCGAAATATTCCTCTTTAAAGTTGAAGCTAGAGTAGTTGAATTTAAATAATATATAGGATCCCTATCTAAAGCTTATTCGAAAGTGGTCTTTTTATTCTGTAACAAAGTTTTTTTTAACCATTTTTTTGAAATAATGAGATGTAAAACTTGATGTCACAAGGAATAATATGAAATTTGTCTGAATATGACTTCCGATATTTGTTTTTAAGAAATCATTCAAAGTAAATAACACAGTAAGTAAAGTCGTTATTTTTTCGATCAGCAGTAGCGAAGACGGGAGGCATTTTATATTATATAAAAAAACTTGTATAAACACATTAATACTTATGGAATCTTATACTATATAAAAGTGAAATAAATTTTTATAAAAATTTTCATAATGGTGAGCACTAATGTGCTCATTAGGTTGAGCACAACTGCAGTCAGAGAACGTCCTTAAGTGGATCGATTTTAATACAAATATTATATAAAATATTATATATGCAACGGTTAAAATCTTCATTATAATGAACATCCTGTTGTTTCATTGCAACTACAGAATAGACGAAGCGATACGATATTGAAATTTATTGATTGTCAGTTAACGTGGGAACAGAGCGCCAAGTGCGATTTAATACGAGGCAACTGTTTATTAATACACCGCTGGAGTCGTGCACAACGTCGATAATTGCTCTTAGAAGTTCGTGCGATATAACCTGTCTCCTTTCTCCGCCGCTTAGGCCAGAGTAGAGCAAGATTAATTAGGTTAAGTCTATGCCTGAGATAATTAACGGATATTACATAAAATTTATAAGAAAATGTCATTGCTAAGATGATTCATAGTTTGCGAGCACGTATAGCTAAATATATATCCTTTGATGGGGTGGATAGTTCGCCACGATAAAAATATAGAAACGAACGCAATGGCTACCGCTTATACTGCAGCATTTTCCTCGCAGCTTAATTAATGCACGTAAATTTTCCGGTAGTTGTCAAATGTGATTATTTCACTGATTGTTTATTCAGTCGAAGTGTGTCGCTTTTTTGAAATGATGATAGAGAAAGCTGTATTCTCTAAAAGTGAGAATCAGTATTATTAATGATTTCAGTTTTACATCTAGATTGATGTAATCATCGGCGAATATTTATTGTTTTTCAGTAATAATACTGATTCACTTTTAGAAAGTATTTTACGTGTCTATCTTAAAACTATTTTCAGAAGCTATGAAATAATCCTCTGATGGGCATTTTAAATCTTGTAATTCGAATCTTATTTCAGGTTTCTCTCCATGATGGCAATATTAATAAGGATGATTTTTAAAATTATAACAAAATTGTGGAAAAAATTATAGATTATTCTAAATCAAGTTTAAAAATAACACGACGAATTTGGTGACGATTTACTATCTGGATTATCTTATTTTAATAAATAGTATTTTTTAAATCTGTGCTCTAATAAAAATATATGGAAATGTATTATAAAATAAATTATGAAAATAAGTACCTACATTATGTATTTAGGATTATTTACGTAGAATTACATTGCGATGCATGAATTAGTTCAGTATAAATAAACAAAATATTTATTAATTCTATATCTCTGTAATCAGTGAATCGTAATGAAACTTTGCATAAATTATTTTGAATAATTAAAGTACTTATAAAAGGAAAATGTAAATGTTTTTTATCATTTTTTAATTTACATTTTTAACAATAAAAATAATAATTAATAAAATAAATAAACTACAAAAATATGTTATTATACAAAAATATAATCTTATTCACAACTTTCATATGTATATAGTTTATTTAAAGTGTACATATTAAACATATTTTCAAATTTAATTTTCTTTGCAGAGATAGAGTACATATCTAATATTCATCTTTAATAAATTGAAACTTTATTTCATCTCAAAATGAAAGAAATAATATAATGAGTGAATAAAAATATCCAATTAAAATAATTATCTTCGTATAGTACACTGTGTACAATTATTAATTTTCTTTTTAAACGACAATAAAAAATATACAGAGACTCAAATGAATAATAAAAGAATTCAAATGTTCAAATGGATTTAAACTTAAATTTCGACATCAAAATCTAGTTTTGCTTGTAGCTCATTGTTTTTATTTAATTTTAGCTACAATATAATTTCTTATTCGTTTTTTGAATATAGTTACATTTAAATTTTAATACAATATTGTAGAGATTATTTTATTTTTTTATAAAGGCTAAAATTATATAAAGAAGTACAAAATGTAAAAACAAAGGTTTTAATTTAATGAAGATTCGTAAATGTTACAAAGGTAGTCACTGTTGACCTTATAAATTCGCGCGAACGAGAAATATAATACGTTTTCTTCGTAATTATAAAACAAAAAACAATTAACTTGGACAGTTGCAGAGAGAATTGCATCTCAATTACAAATATTCGCAACAGGTGGACAAATTCTGGCAAAGTTTTATTTCTTGCGTGTGAGAAAGATAGCGGACACATGTGTGCGATTTTACAACACAAATTGCTTGATAACAGTGTGGTTCATCGTCATCGCGTAGCGTGCAGATAAACAATGGAAATCAT